GTGTGGGGATGAGCTTTCTGCCCTCTAGCCACCTCATTTGTCCCGGTGGTCTGGGTTTGTCTGCCCAGGGTCCAACTTCAGGGCCCTAGAATAGGGCTGGGTCCAGGGACAAGCGAAGGCACACTTGTGTGAGCATCTGCTCAGGTCTAAGTGTCCTGTCACTGACCGGGGAGTCTGTGGGCGTCTGAGTGGGAGGTCAAGTACTAAGTGGAAATCCTAGGATGAGGGCATGATGATGAGAGCCCTGTGAACTCAGTCAGGCTTTCTGAAAGGGTCCTCTTGGGTGGGAAGGCAGCGAAAGAAGTGAGTGCACCCCGCAGGTGGTCACTGCACGCAGGTGTGAGCATGTAGCCAAGATTGGTGCAGAATGAGGTCCCACAGGCAGGCTGTGTGTCCAGGTGTGAAGCCACACTCTGGTGTAGGAGGTAGACCCTGCTGCCTCAGTCTGGGCATGCTTTCTCCACCACTGGCAGCTGTGGGGCCACCTCCCCTGGACTGCACCCCTTGGGGACCTCGGTCCAAATCCGAACTAACCCCAGAGTGGCCTGTGGACGTATGAATGCAGTGACCTCCACCCAGAGTGGTTACTCTGCCTCCTTCCATCCATGACACACACTGACTCACAGAAGCACCCCAACCTCCCAACCTCAGGTGCACCAGAAGACAGGTTGTATGTAGGTCCAGGACCTGTTGAGCAAGGAAAGAGAAGCCTGCTCTAGGAGTGGACAGATTCCCTCTGATTGGGCTAGGTTCCAGGAAGAGTCCTCTCTCCCTCCGAAGGAAATAAGGTTCCTCACACACTTGAGGAAGAGCTTGGGATTCTCAAGTCCTTGTGGCTGAACACTTGGCTCACCCCAGGTTCAATCAGTTGAGTCGTGGAATCCCACAGTGGTCTGGCCTCAAGTGAGAAGAGGAGTGCCTGGGTCACCACTCTCCAAAAGCTAGACCTATTCCTATTGTTTAATTTGTTTGGGGTTTAAAAGATTCTGGAAAACTTTGCCCAGTGTAGCTCTGGGAGAAGGCGCCCAGCACCAGGCAGGATCCAGCCGCAGCCCTCCCTCTCTCCCACACATCCTCCTGCCAGGGTGCAGTTAACAGAGATTTCCTTAAGCTTATAACCTCAAGGTGTTATAGAGTGGGGTCTGGATCTTACACTCCTGCAGGACCTGTTATCCCAGACTCACTGCCTTACCTCTCTCCACGCAGAAGCCGGCAGAGCTGACCCCTTGCTCTCTCCCAAACTCATTCTCAGGCTCCAGCGAGTGGCATTTCCTAAGAGCGAAGGGCCTGGTTTATGTTACCATCACAGACTCCGGTCAGGGTCGGAGGGCGCTCGGGTGCCCCGGCATGGGCCTGGCCAGCTTTCTGGAAGCTCTTCGCACGACTCTTCCGCACCCACCCTTTCCTCCCTCCCCCGCCCTCCCTCAGCCTGGGCCACCCGTTTGGCATTCAGGAGAAACCCGCTCAAGGCTCAGCGCTCCGAGGTGGGTCCCAGCTGGTCTGGGCCCCTTCCTCCCCAAGGGGCCAGCCCCCATTGTCAGGGCCCACGAATTGTGCCGGGGGAAGGGGCTACGTCCCGAGGCCCCTGGGTTGAGTCCGCACGCCCAGTACCTCCGCGCCCCAGGCGGCGCCGGCCAAAACCCCAGGGCCCTGAAAGTTCTAAAGAACATCACGGAAACGCACGGTCGAGAGTGGAGAGAGACCGACGTTTCGGAAAACTCATTTTCCCCATTAGTTAAACAAATTTGCTTTACTCTGAGGGAACGAGAAGAGTGGAGAATAAAAGCGAGAGTGAGGGCACACTGGAATGAGGAAAAGACAGAAAGGGCACAGAGAATCACGGTTAGAGAAACCCAAGACGACCGTGCCAGAGGACTGCAGCATTAATTCCTGATCTTGCCATTTAAAAGGGAAACAAAATCCAAAACCTGTTACCTCCTCTGCAGATCGAACTGTTCCTCAAGGCCGTGACGTCAGTAGGGGAGAAGGTGAAAGTTAAAACTACTCTTGGGAGTCCGTGGTGACATTGTTTCAGGCCCGGAAGGACCGACAGACGAATGCGCATCTTTCGAGCAAGAGGATCTGGGAGACAAGAGAGGCCACGTTTTACTTTCGTTTAAAAGAGAAAAGTAAACGTTTTGTTAATTCGAAATAACACTGACAAAAAGAATCCCGCCACCATGTAAAAGAAATCGAGGTGCTGCAGAAGTGAGGAGAGGAAAGAGCAAAAGAGGGGGCAAAGGGACGTAACTAGGGGGCGGGGAGAGGAAAGATGCGGAGCGCAAGGCACCCCGAGGGCTCCGACAAGAAGCGCAATCTCAATTCTCTCCAGGCTCCTCTTTAAAAACAAAAATCCTCATAAACCACACTTACCCTTCTTGATGCCTATCATACCAGGAATTTTTAAATGAAGGACCTCTGTTTTAAAGGAGGCAGGAGGAAAAAACCAAATCAACAGCCCCCAACTACCCCAAACGCACCGGACTTGGGAGCACACCATAACGAAGCCGGAAAGCAGCAGGAAAAATCCTCTTGGCATTTATGCCCTATGCCCTCTCCCTTCCCCACCCCCGAGTCTCCGTTCCACCCCCACCCCAACCGAGGTAATTGAATTGTCACCTGCCCCTATCCCGCCCCCGGCCACCAGGGCCACTTGGGAAACTCGGCCTTGCCAAGCGCCCCCGGCCAGTGAGAGCGGCGCAGCCAAGCCCGAGTCCCAGAAGTCGAGGGGTTACACACGGCTACGTAGAGGCGCACCGGACACGGTAATTAGGTGCAATTCACACGCTCTCGGGCGCACGGAAACTACTTGTCACGATATTTTCAACGCTCCTCCTAGCCTACTTTTCTCCGCTCCTTCCCTGGCGCGCCCCTCCCCTCCCGGAGGCACTCAGTGGAGCTTTTGGAGTTTCGAATCTTTCGGACACTGTAGAATGCGGGGCTCCCCGGGCGCGGGCCCGGCCAATCAGAGCGCTGTCTGCCTCCCCTGGCCAATGGCAGACGCCACATTGTTGTCCAATTCTGTCTAATGGAGCCCTAAGGAGCAACAATAGAGCGGGCGAGCGGCTCATTGAGAGTCTGGCAGCGCCGGGCAACTGGGGCGCGGCTGTGCGCAGCGTCCCGCGCGCTCCGCGAGGGGACGCCGAGCGGCAAGGGCCGGGTTGCGGGCTCCAGCCAGCCGGTCCCTAACCGGTCCCCTGGCTCGAATTTCCGACGGAAGGGTTGGACTGCGCAGCGTTCAGAGGGGGTCCGGAAGTTCGGACATGGTGACTGAAGGAGAGTGACGTGGTCTGATAAGGGACCGGGGGCAGGGGGAAGAGGCCAAGAGCGCCAGCAACGCGAGCGGAGCTGGGAGGTGCGTGAAGCGCCAGCGGAGGAGGAGGATCCCGAGCCCGAGGCAGGTAGCTGAGGGACGCAGGGAGGGCAGGGGAGGCGGCCCGGCCTGCGGGCCCTGTTGACGAGGCCCGGGCCACGCCGGCCCTAGGGACTTCGCGGCCCCAGGGGCCTGAGGGAAGAGGCAGCTCAAAAGGGAAGGGATCTAGCATACTGGGGCGGAGACACCAGGACTCGGTCCCGGGCTTTGGCGGGGACCCCGGGACCTAGAGGAGACCGGGGCGGAAGCTCGGGGCTGGGCCTGCTTGGGCCTTCTGGGGCCGCGGCGCAGGTGAGACTCCACAGCGAGTTCCAGAGGCGACTCCCCTGCCTCGGTGCTGTCTCCTGGGCCATCCAAGTTCCAGGAACCCAATTCCGACACAAGAACTCGAGAATCTGTACCTAAGTAGGGTCCCCCGGGGATCCCAGGATAGGGAGGGCGTGTCTGACGATTCTGTCCCTAAACCCGGAGGGGAAGAGACAACAGTGTGAGAGGGTCAGGGATCTCCCTCCTGTAATACCTAACTTTTCGCAAGATACCTCTTGCTTCCCGACTGTTCTTCCAGACTGCAGGGCTAAAAATCGTGCCACAGGTTTTACTCCACCCCCACCCACAATCTTTGCCTGCAGGGTGTTTTTGTTTTTGTTTTTTTCTCATGCACACCTCTCTCCCCCACGTGAACCCTGGGACCCAGACATCCATATCAGCTGTTTTTTTGTTGTTTTCCTCACCCCTCAAGCTAATCTTCCGCTGTGTCTGCCTATCCAAACAAAGTTTCCTCCTCTTAATTTTCTCTTTAACTCTCCCCAAGCCTAGTCAACTCATCACACTCATTTTCCTCTCCCACTCCCTGGAGGCCCCACACCATGAAATTTGTAGCCCCCACATTTCCACGCGTCCCTGGGGCCCCAAGGCCTAACTTTGCTACTGAGATGTTTGTTTTGTTATCTAGCCTTCACTCTATTTCCTAGAGTTATTCTTTTCTGTTCCTGATTTTTCTAACTCTCCTGCTCCCTCCCGCATGAAAACTTCAGACCCAGCCCGCTGAACTCTATGCCTTGTGTGCTTTGATAGCTCTCTCCTTTTCACCTTTCCACAAAACTGAGCTCTTCGTCACAAATTTTTTTGTTTTGTTTTGCTCTTGGTGTCTAGTCTGACTGCTGGGTCAAAAATTTTCTCTCTAATCCGAGTCCCATCAAACAAACATTTCTCTCTACCCATCTCGCCCCAACTAAGCTAAACTTTAGGGGGATAATATTATCCTTTTCAACTTCTCGTTATATACACCTGAACCAGTGACTTTTCAAACTTTATATGTCTTTTGTTTTGTTTTGTTTTGTTTTGTTTTCCAGCGGAACCACTGATTCAAACGAAATCTTAGACCCAGCGCATAAATCAGATATAAGAAGAGTTCTGGTGGGAATAGGGTGGGGGAGCTCAGCTTTACGAGGGGGATCCGAAGGTACCTCCTTCCAGCAATTTGGCAACCACTAGCCAAACTTCCGCGACCAAAATTTTCCCTCCCTAAGCCGGATCTCCTGGAGGGTACGCTGTAGCTTAGCACATCGTGCGCTCTTCCCGGCAAGTCTCTTCCTTCTTCCCACGGTCTTCTACGCCGGGTCCTGCCATGGAGCTACGCTCCGAGCTACCTAGCGTGCCCGGCGCAGCGACGGCGGCGGCGACAGCGACGGGGCCGCCCGTGGCATCTGTGGCGTCGGTGGCGGCGGCGGCGGCAGCGGCCGCGTCGCTACCGGTGAGCGTGGCGGGCGGCTTGCTGAGAGCGCCGCCGCTGTTGTTGCGGGCTGCGGAGAAGTACCCGCGGACCCCCAAGTGCGCGCGCTGCCGCAACCACGGCGTGGTGTCAGCGCTCAAGGGCCACAAACGCTATTGCCGCTGGAAGGACTGCCTGTGCGCCAAGTGCACGCTCATCGCCGAGCGCCAGCGCGTCATGGCGGCGCAGGTGGCGCTGCGCAGGCAACAGGCGCAGGAGGAGAACGAGGCGCGCGAGCTACAGCTGCTCTACGGCACTGCCGAGGGCCTGGCGCTCGCGGCCGCCAACGGCATTATCCCGCCGCGACCTGCCTACGAGGTCTTCGGTTCCGTGTGCGCCGCCGACGGCGGGGGGCCGGGAGCGGGAGCGCCCGCGGGGACCGGAGGCGGCGCAGCGGGCGCCGGGAGCTCAGGTGAGCGCGCGGCCTGGCCGGGAGGAAAGGGAGCAGGGCCCGGGCCTGGGGGCACGCGGCCTAGGGACTTGTCTCGGTACTGAGAAAGTAGAATCCCCTTCTCCAAACGCCCGACTGCTAAGAGTTCGCTGCGCATCCAGGCCCTGATTTGGGGGCACAAACACATAAACTCTTTCTCCCCTTTCTGAAGAATTTGCCCTTTACTCCTTTCCCTCACCGCGGGCCCAAATGTAGACGCTGCAGTCTTTTCTCCTCTACCCAAACGCAGCCAGATCCCGCCTTCCCTGCTCACTTGGCTAGGTCTCCCCAGCGTGGAACCTTTAACCTTGGTTATGCTCTTCTCCACTTGCCCTGGTTCCTTTTGCGCCTTCCCAACTCTCTTCAGAAATCCGGCCCTCTCCCAGTCCTCCTTCCCCCTCCCCGCACCGCTTTCTCTAGGTATCACATACCCGTTTTTCCTTTTCCCCTTGTGATTCCTTTTCTCAAGTTCCTAATGCTCTCGGACAACCGCATGCTGTGCCTGCTCCTTCTTTCTAGCTTCTTTCCCCCACTTGTCCCCGTTTTCTCAAGAATAGGGCTCTCCCGCTTCTCTCGATCCCCACTCTTCTAACCACTCCCCCACACTCCCCATCTGGCCGCACCCTCTTCTTCAAGATTTCTTGCCTTTTTCTGGGGAGGGAAGAAATTAAGGCTGGGGCCACTGGGGGCCATCTCAGCCCTCATCTTTGAAGTGAAGAACTTCTAAGGTTTTAATTTTGGAAAGGGTGGATTAGCTATAGTGGCTCTATTTTTGCCTGAAGAAAGGCTTGGGATTTCTTAGATACCCAAGGTGCCTTCCCTAACAAGCTATATTGCCCAGAGCCAGAGGGCACCCAGGGCTGGGTTCACTCTTGGAATGATGGGTGTGGAGTGGGGTCCTATACAGTAGGTGTATAGGTGGAAGTTATATTGTCTCCTGCTTGAACTCTGGGCCAGGCCACTTCTCCAGGTCAGGGTACGGCTTGGAAGGAGGGATAAGGGTGGAGGTGTTGGGACGCAGATATGGAAGAGGGGAACTGGACATTGAATTTACAGGGCACAGGTGGTTGGGTTCTGGTACAGAAAGAGTGCGCCCTGGAGGTAGGGGAAGTGAGGACTTAGGGGCTCAGAGAATAAGGAATGCTGGAGAAAAAAGGAGGGGGCGCCAGAGCCCAGTGAATGAGGGTTGTCGGGTTCAGAGAGAGGAAACTGGGGTCCAAAGGGCTGATGTTCTTAGGGTGCCGTCACCTCCCCGCCCCTAATCACTCCTCACATCCCTCTTTCTCCCTTCCTAGAGGCCAAGTTACAGAAGTTTGACCTGTTCCCCAAGACACTGCTTCAGACCGGTCGCCCCGGCAGCCCGCAGCCGCCACCCGGGAAGCCCTTATCACCCGACGGCGCGGACTCGGGTCCTGGGACATCTTCTCCGGAGGTGCGGCCGGGCTCGGGCTCGGAGAACGGCGACGGCGAGTCCTTCTCGGGGTCGCCCCTGGCCCGGGCCTCCAAGGAGGCAGGTGGGAGCTGCCCGGGCAGTGCAGGCCCGGGAGGCGGCGGTGAGGAGGACAGCCCGGGTTCCGCTAGCCCACTGGGCTCCGAATCCGGTTCCGAGGCCGACAAAGAAGAGGCAGAGGCCGCTCCCGCTCCAGGGCTGGGCGGGGGCCCGGGTCCACGGCAGCGGACGCCGCTGGATATCTTGACGCGCGTCTTCCCGGGCCACCGGCGAGGCGTCCTGGAGCTGGTGTTGCAGGGTTGCGGCGGCGACGTGGTGCAGGCCATCGAGCAGGTGCTGAACCACCACCGCGGGGGCTTGGCGGCCGGCCTCGGTCCCGCCGTGCTCCCCGATAAGGCCGCAGTGGGTGCAGTAGCAGCTGCGGACGACGCGTGGCCGGGCCGCGTCGACGCCGCGGCAGCTGGGGGGCCGGGGCTGCCAGCGCCGCTTCAGGCAGGCCCCGCCGCTCCTCCACACCACAGACCTTTGCTGGCCGGCGCCATGGCGCCTGGGGCGCTGGGCTCGCTGAGCAGCCGCTCCGCATTCTCACCACTGCAGCCCAACGCCAGTCACTTCGGCGCCGAAGCGGGCGCCTACCCGCTGGGCGCGCCGCTGGGCCTCAGCCCCCTGCGCCTGGCCTATTCGGCGGCAGCGGCGCACAGCCGTGGCCTGGCCTTCATGGCTCCCTACTCGACCGCTGGCCTGGTCCCCACACTCGGCTTCCGCCCGCCCATGGACTACGCCTTCAGCGACCTCATGCGCGACCGCTCGGCCGCCGCGGCTGCGGTGCACAAGGAGCCCACCTACGGCGGCGGTCTGTACGGGCCTATGGTCAATGGCGCCCCCGAGAAGCAGTAGGGCCAGGGGCCCGGCAGCCGGGCCGCCTCCAAACGGGGACCCCGGCCTTGATCCCACGGGCCGCCGTACCCTCTTCACCCGGTGCGCTCTCTGCGCCCCAGCTGGGGTCCTCTCGCTCAAAGGTGATTTTCGGTTTTGTTTTGGAAGGTGGGTGGAGAGCTGAGAGAAGCGGGAGCAACCACAGATGCAGGTGTTCTCAGAGGGGGTGCGTGTTCTTGACCCTCATCTTCTGACCACCTCCTCAAGGCTCCTCCAGCCCTTCAAAAGGCCGGGAATTCTTGAGAATTCAGAGGCTGCGGCAGCTGCACACACTCCTGCCTCTCCTTTTGCTGCGCTCATCCCACCCTCCCGCTCTCCAGTGGATGGCAGGATAGTCCGAGAGTCTGTCTTCTGTGTCTCCCTCTCCTTATTAAAAAATTTTTTAAAAAAATATTCGCTCTAACAAATATAAATTTAGGATGTATAAATCTCCTGGCACTGAGTCGAGTCTTTGGGACACACATATATATATCTCGATATCAATTGTAAAAAAGAAAAGGAAACAAGTTCTAAGGTGCACTTTCCTCGCGGTATTTGTCGCTCTCTTTGTTGCTTATGCCAATAAGCATGGGTTTCCTTGGTGCAGTGTGAGTTTTTATATATGTATAAATCTATATATAATCTATACATATATATATATATACAAGCCAGTGTATAATGTTATAAAATGGAATTCTAAGTTATTAATTGTAATCTGTAGGTGACCTCGGTATTAACGTGAAAAATATTCAAAAACAAGCAAAAAAAAAAAGGACTAAATGGAAAAAAGTAGACTATGCGCGCATTGTACTTATCAGATTTTATAGATTAAATATATTGTAAACTCGGGACAAATCCTGCCCGCCAGCCCCTCTTGCCTGCGGCCGGTCTCTCCCTAAGATGCCGTCAAGGTGCGCACTGAAGCAGGAACAGAGCGGCGAGTGACTGAACCAGAACCGCCTGCCCGAGAGCCCATCCCCGCCTCCCGGAACTCGCCAAACGCCCGGCCCAAAGGGACGGCAGCGGGAAACGCTGCTGCAGAGAATGGCTCACTTTGTGCTTTCCTTCGCATAGACATGAGCTAGAAATAAATGTTATTTTCTAAGAAAACAGCACGGAACCCCGTCCCGCTCCTCCGGCGGCCAGATTGAAAAGGTCTTGATTTCCCGTTCCGGCCCGCGGTGCCAGCTAGACTTCAGTCCGGCTGGTGTCCGACCTTCGTGGGTGTGGAGCCGGAAGACTCTCCGTGACGCGGGAAAGGCCCCGTCGACGGGAGTGGCGCGCGGCTCAAAACCCCGCGGGGAGCGGTGCCCCCTGCGCATCGGGGACCCCACGTCCTTCCCATTCCGGTTTTGGGCGCGCGGGCGCGACGGGTCGCCTTGCCAGTGCTCAGGATCCCTGGATCTCGGGCAGAGCCTCTTAGGGAATCCGGAAAGGCTGGCGGCCGGATTCCGGTTCTCCCCGGGCCCCAAATTTGGATACAGCCGGGGTCGCACAATGAGCGCTAACCATCTCAAAGAGGTTTGGAACCCAGGCGGTAGAGACGGCGGCTGGAGAAGGAGGGCTGCGACCGTTTTCCCACAAAAGCTCGTGGCCTGGGAGTTATTTTGGGGTGGTGGTGGGGGAGTGGGGCGCTGCCCTCCCCAAGAGGCAGGGTGAACCGAAAGTGGCGATGAAGACGCGCCTTCCAGTCAGACCTCGCTCAGCTCCCTAGTCACCTTCCCTCCTCACTCGGGGCAGAGCACAATAGTGGCTCCCCCACCGATCTCCTCCTCCAACCTCCCCGGGCCTGCTCCGCTCCCTGCAGGGTGACTCCCCCTCTCCGGGAAACAGGGTGCTCCCTCCCCTAGTCTGGGCCCGGCGACATCCCAAGGTAAACTTCTGGGGCCGGCTCGAGTTCCGCCAGGCAGTGAAACTTAATAGCAGGACAAGAAAACGGTTTAATAAAGAAGGGCTTTAATAGGGAACTAATTTGATTGAGTTGCCTAATTCCACTTTAATTGGAAAGGGGTTTGGCTGTTTGGTTATAAAGTGCGAGGGTGACGATGAGATGGAGGTGGGGGAAGAAGGAGCGAGAAAAGAAAGATGGGGGGCAACAGAGAAGGGACGAGAAAGGGAATGAAGATAGGAAGGAAAGCAGAGGAAGAGAGGAGAGAGAAGAGGGAAGTTTCTAGAAAAAAATGTAGAAGGCTAGAGAGGCGCGCGGGAGCTTTTAGAAGTGTCAACTTTCTTGCTCTTCAGGCTGCTCCCTCAAGTCTCCCATGTCGTCCTCCTATTCCAGGTTTTCTGAAGCATCGGATCCTCCCTTAGTCCAGATTCCCGCCACCGCCTTTCTGGCCTCTGCCTTAATTCCCATCCAAGGTGAACCTAACATCACTCTGGGTCTCTTGGTTTCAGGAGGGACCTATACTGAGTCTCCTGGAGCTCCTTGTTTCCTGTGGGTGCTCAAGCCAGACCCAGGGGCTGGCTTGGGACCCCCATTACCCACTGTGGAGAACATCCAGAGCTTCATAGATTTCAAGATTAGTATTTTGGTTCATCCTCACAGCAAACCTGAAATAATCCAGTGCGTTGTTTATTATTGGGTCTATTTTACCAAGAAGGAAACTGAGGTCCAGAGTGGTTTGGGGACTCTGGACTTCCTTTCCTCTGCACTGTCCAGGTGAACCTCCTCCTCTCTTGAAGCGGTCTCTTCTGGCTGAAGGTGGGGGCTCTGCTGAATCCCTCCTTCCCGTGTACTCCTGTGGCTCAGAGAGGGGAAGCCACGTCTCAGCTCCAGGCTGCCAGCAGCTTTGGTCGAGCTCAGAATGATTGAAGTGGTGAAACTTTGAGAGGGTGGCGTGGTGGGGTTCCCAGGTTCCTCTCCTCCCCGCCCCGTGGGTCTTGGTGGCCCAGACCTGGCAATGGAACCCCAGGGCTGTGAGTCACAACCTTGACACCTGGCAAAGGGCTGCACCCATGCATGCCCCTAACCCCACAGCCTCCTGCGTGGTCAGGAAGACTGAGGCTCAGTAACTGACAGCGACCGTTGTACATTTAGGTTCTGTGGAGTCAGACTCCGAGCCCAGGACGGTCAAGCCAGTTTGTTAGATGGCAGTGGTGGGAGTGGGGCTGGGCCTGCAGGGACCTCTGTTTTCTTTGAGCTTCAATGGTAGGTGGGTGGGCGCTGGGGCCTGAGCTCCACTGAGTTCCACTGGGAGGACCACTGGGATCCCAGTCATGGGAGGCAGCAGCCCCATCACTTCTTCTTTGTGGGGAGCAGAAGGTGAGGTGGGAGTTTCCTTCTGACCTCTACAGTCCATATTTATTCCCAAACTTTCCTCTTAGTCTGTTGGAGTTGTGCCTGGCCTGGGTACTGGGGAAGACCTGGGCCTAGATCGCCATGGGGGAGCTTGGACTGTTGAAGTCATTAAAACTTACCCTCCTCCTCCTCCTTTTCCTCCTCCTCTTTCTTCACAACAGCAGCAACTACACATTACTGAGTACCTACTATGTACCAGGTCCTGTACACAGCTCATTCCATATAGGATCCTGCTCAGGATGAAAAAAAGCCAAGAGCTGGGATCCAGGCTCTGTTTCTGGCTGAGTTTATTCATTCACAGATTACTTCAGGCAGTAAATGTTTATTAACTACTTACTTCATGCCAAACCCAGTTCTAGGAGCTTGGGATACACAAGTGTGCAAGACAGGCACCATTCCTACACTTTACAACCTCACAGTGTGTGTGTGTTGGGGGGTGGACAGAAGCAACTAAATAGGCAAGTAGGATGCACTGACCAGGACCCCAGGGCTCAGGGAGATCTGCCCAGGGAAAAGCGAGTTAGGACAATTCACCTCAGCTTCCTCCTCAATGAAATGGGGCTGATAGTGACTGTCTGTCTGGATGCTGTGAGGATTGATTGAGAGAATGTGTAAAACACTTTTAGCTCAGTGCCCAACTGACCAGGCAGTTATTATAATCTTAGATACTCTGGTGTGGGAATTGTCTCATTTCATAGAGAAGCAAACAGTTCAAAGGGATTGAGTGACTGGAGCAAATTTCCCTTATAAATCCTCTACAATGTCACAGGTTATGGGAGGTGTCCTGGTGAGCAAGAGGCCATGGTGAAGGATCATCAGATGGGACAGTGTGGGTTCTGGAGATGCTTCTGAGGGAAGGTGAGGCTGCAGCTGAGTCCTGAGGACATTGGTGAGAGGCAGCATTAGTAATCCATGGCAGGAAGTTGGTGAGGGAAGAGCAGGTGGAGAAGGAGGAAGTGGGGACAGATTGTGATGTTGGACAGAAGTCAGAGGTCAGAACAAGGGGAACCTCAAGCTCCAGGGTACGGGCCTGGGTTTCAGAGTGAGGGTACTGGGAGCCAGTGACAGCTTGCATGGTAAAACTTGCATTTGGACTGGATACATTGTTAGAGGAGGGCCAAACCCATTTAAGGAGGAGTCGTGTAAGATGGTAGCACCAATGACCAGTGGGAGCAGGGACAGGGAGAGAAAAGGTTGACTTCAAGAACTACTGGGAGCCAGACCCTCCACACTTGATCTAATGGATGCTGGGAGTAGTAAACCTGGAGGAGGGCTCATGGATAATTCCCAGGTGTCTGGTTTGCTTGACTCTTTGTAGGTGACAGAGCTCAGGACCCCTGGATCAGAGACAAGATTGGAAGGTGGGGAAAAATTTCAGCGCTCAACAAATAGAATTTGAAGAACTTATGCAGCTTCTAGATGTGGACACCAAATGGTAGAATGAGTCAGCACGTGGGTGGTAGCAGGGACTTGGGAGGGATCAAGTGGCTCAACCCTTTCTCTACACTGGACATAAGACTGCTTTAATGGAGGCCATGGGCCTGGGGGTGGGCAGTTGTTGAGACCCCAGATGCTGGAGTTCTGCCTCTCATCTTTTCAGTTCATTCCAAGAAGGCTGGTCTCTGAAAACCATTCTCTTAAAATTTTGCAGCCTGTGAAGATTATTGTCCTGGATCAGGAC